AGACACTCGAAGCCAGCTGGTTTTAATAACCAGCTTCCTCCCCTTCGCCCATATATGAAGAGAACAACCTCAGTGAGAAGGAGCATGTGTTTCTCCAAAGTATTAACAGCTGATCTTCCCTGATCTTCCCGCAAGCAGACAAGTCCCGGGCAGCAATACAGAGATTCACCCTGATACCAACCCGGAACAAGACCCTCCAAGTTTGTAAAGCACGAACCAGACCCAAGATGCAACTGGCTGACACCTCGTGTCCCGATTTCAGGAGGCCGCCCTGCAAGCAAGACACAACAGGTGCAGGTGGTACAAGTCTCAGAGAGCCAGCCTGAACTCCCTGGCCTCCACGCTCACCTACACTACGATGTCCAGACAGACTTCAGGCACACACAAGTGCGGCTCGACCGTGTGCTCACACCTGGTTAAGCCTCAGCTGTGGAAGACGGAAACAAAGGGAGTGGCAAAAGCGTGCCCTGGAGAGGGTGGGGTGGCAGGGAGCTACCGGCTTTCATCTCCAGCCAGGCTGGCCCCACACGGCCTGGGTGCGGCCTGGCTTGGTCTCCGGGAGGTAGCATCAGAAGTTCCCTGCCCGCCTGCACACCCGGGTCGCTGGACCACATCACCTTGCAGGTCAGGGCCCAGCCGACCTCATCTGCAGGCAACCAAGGGGAACCCCACTCACTCACTCCGCTCTCATTTCTCATCCGTGCAAGGGACCCCTGAGAGGCTGCTCGGGCAAAACCTCTCATCAGAGGTTTATGTCCCTCCCGAAGTGGAGGAACAGGTATGATGCGTCTGCCATAGACGCCTTCCACACTCCCCAAAGCCAATCCCCACACCAGCCGGAGCCAAAGAGGAGTCCCCTGTCTCGGCACAAGCTCAAGCTTTCAGACTAAAGCCGTGCAGGCCCCTGACCAGCCTCTTCCTGGAGTCCCAGACAGAAGAGGGAACGAGACCACGATGCCCCCGGTCCAGGCTCAGCGGCCCGGAGGCCTTGTCCCGTGTACAAGTCCACGACACCCCTATCCGGCACAGGCCTGCGTGGGGCCCCGGGAGCTCCAGAACCCCTCCCCTCGCGGAGCCGGGACGATACACGCGCGCGCACGAACACTCCCTCACACAGGCGCGCACACGGCCGGCGAGCAGCTCCCAGGCCCGGCGGCGCCATGCGCCCTGGCGGCGACCCGCGCGC